GTTTCGTGGAAAGATTTGTGTAATACACAAATTAAATGGCACGTGTACAGATGATCGAAAGCAGCTTGCTATTCCGGCTAAATTAAAGAACAATATGATATCACTGAAACTATGTTTGTAAGTCTAATAAAAAATAATAGTGAGCAACACATATACTACATGATACTGTATGTATGTGTTGCTCACTATTATTTCTTATTGGACTTATAAACTTAGTTTCAATGATGCCGTATTATTCTTTCATTTGGCCGGAATAGCGAGCTGCTTTCGATCTGTACACGTAAGTCATTTAATTTGTATATTATACAAATGTTTCCGCGAACTGACAGTTTTTAGGTTAGGAAGGTGCAAAAGTGCAGAGTCACTCCAGCATCCCCTTAAGCATCCGTTCGGGCACGAGACAGGGACGAGAGAGATAAGGAATAAGCGAGACAGCGGTCGACTAGGCGAAATTCTCAATGTATTATTGTCGAAAAGAAATTTTAAGTTACCGCGTCGTCGCGCGTGAAAAATTTTAGGACGTAAGCCAACGTCTAAATTTCATATTAGATAGAAATAGAAAATTGAAAAACACCGATTATTCAACATTAAAGTTTGTTGACCGTATCTGGCAATTTTGATGCTTTAAGAATCGCTACGTTTCGACCATGGGTCTTGGTCCTTTTCAAGCGATCAGACTATATAAATAAGAGAATTGACCATGTTAAAAATAAATTAAGTACATTGGAGATATTATGTTCACTGTACATAGATCCGCGTGTATTTTGGTGAAGTACAATTGATTTTTAATTATGATCACATACTGAAAATCAGAGTGTTAGAAAGAGAGAAGGGTGCAGAAGTTTTGATTGCAATTAATGTGAAGACTTGCATGTTATGAAAATTAAGTGTCGGTGTTTGAAACATTGCTCGATAGATGACGGGGCACGACTGACGAAAGTATTAGTCGGTTGGTATAATTAAAAACAAGTAAAAGCCACGAGAAAAAGTTAAAATAATAAATAAATAGTGGTGTCAAGATTTCAGTTAAGTCTATTGTGTGCACTGAAAAAAATTTCTGGTTGAATATGGACGAATCAAATAATTCCTTTAGGATTTACCAGAATTCCTTTAGGATTTACCAGAATTTCTGTAGGATTACAGATTCGTCCATATTCAACCAGAAATTTTTTTCAGTGTGGTCGTAAATAGCGTTGAGATTTTCTGTGTCTTTGTCGCCCGATCCCTGCACCCTTATTGGTTCTCGTGAGCAATCCAGTGACAAAAATTGTATCGTGTGCTACAGGTTGCGATTTGGAAAGAGAACATCGCGTCTCTGTATTGGCGTGCGAAAGAGCTGTTACGCCGTATCAGTGTGGAAAGTAAGCGGAAAGATAAAGCGAGGCTGGGTTTACATTGCAATCTAATTGTCGTGAAATCGATGGCCACAATCATAACGAAGATAACAGTGCCTAGCTCGCGGGAAGGGGGGAGAGGGGGGAGATTATTAACTCGTTAAAGAGAGGAAAAAAGTGAGAACCAAATTGACCTTCCGCGCTTAATAAATCCTTTAATATCTCGGTTATGGGAAGCATTTAGCCGTCTCGTAGGTCCCTAAGATCGTTCCCGGCGCATGCTCGACATTCTCGGCATAGGGTTCCCATAAATTGCGAGTATGATACGTCCTGAAAACGTCGGCCGGGAGTGCTTTAACACTAAACGACGAGAGGAAGGAACAAAAAGAAAGAAAAGATTAAACGGATGACACGTCGGATCGATATCAAGGTAAAATGAGACACCTAACGTGCCGCGCCGGCTCGCAGCGCGGCTATAAAATATCAGGAAACGAGTTTTCGCAACCTGTCAGCGCTTCTTTGAAACTCAATAATAATTCTATAACTAACCGATAAAATTCATCGCCGGTTATCCAATAGCGATAAAACTGTATTTCCCGCCATTAATACTCGTATTAAATATCGCTACCATTAACTGCCGGCGGTCGCGAGCGCGAGCGCGGCCGCCCTTTTTTTAATATATGATATTAAAAAAAAAATAACAGCACCGGAGCTCGTCAACTTCGAAAATAGAAACAAAACGGGACAATCGAATCGGGGCAAATTGAATTATCGCGTTTCCGCGCGGGCGCAGCTCGTTCGGTTACGACGGAGGGAGATTTTCGCGTTAGGCAAATATTCTCGCGAACGCGCCTAACGCTTCGTCGCCTCGCCGAGAGGCATTCGAGGCTGAACGAGGAGAGCTCGGGCTTCTCCCGAATTGCGAAACGCCGCCTCGCATAGCGATGAGCCGCGGCTCATTTCGATTTCGGTCGCGGCGACGGGGAAGAAAAAGAGGGCCCCGGCGATAGAGAGCCGGCGGGAAACCGGTTCTTGCCGAATCGGACGGCGAAAATGGTTTAATCCGAGTGCAATATCGCGACGTCGCAGGTGTCGGCGGTGCATCATCGGAGGAAATAGCGCTCGAGCGTTTCGCGAGCGTAGATTACCATTCGCGGCGCAAAAATACACCCGAGACAGTCTTAGTCATCGATATTCGGATCACGGCCACAATTACGGCCGATATCACCGAGCGTGGAATTTCAGGCCGAGATACGGCGTGAATTACGAAGTGGCCCGCTGAGCCCTTTCAACACATGTCGTAAAAAAAATTACCGATGGATGGAGAGAGAGAGAGACAATGTTTTTTTGTTTTCCCTGACTTGCAGCGAAAACGCGGCGAGCCCGCGGGACTGAAAATTTCCCAATCGCGAAAATTAATCGTAAACACAGATACGCCCCGCGGGTGATTGGCAAATTGCGAGCCCGGCGGCGATTTCTGCCCACCGAGAAAACTGCGCCTAATTGCGATTACAGTGGATCTCCTATTACGTCGACCGGCGACACGCGCGTACGAGCGCAAAAGGTGTGGTTTCTAATTCCCGAGCAATTACACGCCGTAAGTTGCCTCACTCTCGCGAGACTCCGCGCGCTCGGCTTGCAAGGAGCCCAGCGCGCTCCCGACTGTCGGCTCGCAGCCTAGTTTCCATCGACAATAGCGTCGTTGACGACGGCGACAAATCTTGCTCGACGAGGCGCGGGCCTAAAGGGGTACAAATTTCAGCCTCGCGAATGCGGAAGCGCCGCAATTTCGAAGCGAGCTAAGCGAAATAATGAATCGCCGAGTTTTAGGGCAAGTTGGCTGTTCCGAGGCAGAGTATTTTGCAAAAAGAAACATTTTCAAGCAAGTCGGCGTTTCAGAGCGAATCGGAAACTAACATACTTGGATGCTGATCATATTAAAAAAAAAAAAGGACAAGTAACATAGCTTGTCAAGGCCCACCGCTTCCTGTTAATTTTCACACCGAGCGTCTTCGCTCAATTAATCCTTTATTCATTAAAAAAAAATTGTCGCGAACCGCCGTCCCCGAAATATTCCTAGACAGGTCAGCCGTGACCGGGCGACGATTCCGGCGATTCCGTCGCCGGATCGGGAAGAGTTTGCGTGCAGAGACCGGCGATTCTCACGATCCTGAGGAAGCCCAGGGTACCGTAGACCAGGTGCGCACACATGCACGCGGCGGCGCACGTACGCGGAGGGGCCGCGCGCGGCGGGTTCGAGGAACGCAATGCGGCGCGGCGCCGCGATAAGCCGCGCGTAACTATGCGCCACCGGCAGCCAAGCCGGACTGTTTATGGCGGCGGCGATTTTTACGGCCGCCGCCTCGCAAAAACCACCCGCTCGGTCGTCCCCGCCGTCCCTGCGACAGTCGACGGTTTTCCCAGCGGTGAGCGATTGTCCCGCGAGATACGCGTTTGCACGAGCTGCTTCTGTCCCACTCGCTCTCTTTCCCGCCGCGGAAAGAACCAGCCGCGTCTCCGCCCCCAAGCCCCGCGAGACGGCGGCAAATTATTTACCGGGAGACGCGACATAAATATTCAACGACATTTCGCGCTAAAATGGTGCTAGACAAATAGGTGAGACGAGAAGCGCGCGCGAGCGCAATTTATACACCTCTTTCCGCTAAAAGTAAAGATTGACGAGTGTTAAAACGCCGTTTAAACGTGCCGAACTACATCTGCGAGGGGAAATAAAATATTTACGCGCGGGCCATGTTTTTTATAAAAATGTCCAACGTTGCACAAATGTCGGCGCGCCGGGGATGCCGAGGGGGAAACCGCTGAGGGCACTGTGGTGTACAGATTTGCGGCATTACTGGCATTTTTTGGGCATTGGGCCTTGCTGGGGCATTTTAAAGATAAATAATAAAACAAAAGGAGAAACCAGCGCACTAAAGAACAATACAAGGGGGAAAATTTTAAATATATAAAGAGGCAACTATAAACGGCGAGAATCACCTCTCCAACGTCAGCTACGACAGTTGACCTGCGCTCTCGGGTACAAACGTGTTATGTCCCGTTGTTGACGTTATTAGACGCGTATCGGCCCGAACTCGTTCGCACGGTAAACTCAATTTCGCCATCTCGAAAGAAAGCCGTCGCGCGCGCATCCAGCCGTCAACACCTGTTTTCCCGCGGCCGGGAGCGGAGCGTTTCCGCTCCTTTGCGCAAGCTTCGAAACCGGCGCGAAATCGGCTTTCCGGCGAGAGAGCGCGCGCGGAAAGGGCCAAGGCCGGGGAGCCGTGACGAATAGTCCCGACTCGTCCCGAGAAGAACAATCGGCCCGGCCGACCGACGCTCCTCGGCGGCGTCGCGGCTGAAACCGAATTCGAGGACGGAAATCGACGACCACGTGCGGAGAACGAGCGGCTACGCGGGGCCGCGGGTAGGGCGGGAGGGGGGGGGGCGGCTACGAGGGTGCCGGTCGGTTTCGAAGGCGCGCGGACATGCGCCCTCCGCTTGGCACGCTCCGCGGGGCGCGCGGGTGGAGAGGATCCGCGCGGATTTCGGAGCGCGCGCGCAGCGGGCTCCGCGTGCGGCCGCGCCGAAAGCGCTCGGCGCAACGTGGTGCGGCCGGCCAGGTACGCCGTGCCCGGAGACGCGGGATCGCTATCGAATTGTACTAACCGTGTCCACGGTAGGCTCCCGAGCGGCGGCGGCGGCGGCGGCGGTGGCGGCAGCGATGGAAGGAATGTCCAGGCGAAATTCCGTGGGATATCCGTGCGCTCGGCGGTCGCGGCCCGTGGCTTCTTGGCCCGCGCTCCGGCTTCGTCTCTCACTCACAAAAGCGCGGCGACACGAGTTTACCGACGCCGAAACTGCGGAGGAGCTCTCGCTCTCTCTCTCTCCCTCGGCTTGACCGCGGGGACTTTTCCGCCGCGCGGTGACACACGCGCGAGAAGCACAAGCCGTTTGTCGAGTCACTGCGAAACGTCGGCGGCGACGAGGATGACGGGCGTCGACTGCGGACCGCGTTACGAATCGTTACGCGGGGACAATGTGACAGGGAAAATACGGGCGCACACACTCTCACACACACACACACACGCGCGCGCGCGCGTCGAGCTGGCGGCGTCGTTTGCTCGGCCCGTTCGTACGTCGCGTCGGCGGTCGGCGAGGAGCCTCGGTTTTGGAGGTTAGGAAGCGCACGACGACGACGCACCACCGGCTAGCTACTGCTCTCCTTCCTCTCTCCGCCTTTCCCTACAAGCTACGCGCGGCCGCCGTCTCTCTCTAGCCGTCTGCCCCTCTCACTCCGGCTCTCTCCCACACGAGGCCTCCGCCGAAGAGAACGACCGAACGAGCCCGCGTCAAGCGTTGTACGCCGCTCGTACAACTAAGCCAATCGTCCGTTTCGCCGTGGGGGTAAACACCCGGAGTAAACCAAGATAGGTGGAGACAAAGAGCGGGACGGACGAAGGAGGAAAACAAACAAGGAGGTGCGAGAGGCCGCCCGGCGCGGACAACGGGGAGCGCTTCGGAGAAAAGAGCGAGCGGCAGGGGGGGGAGGAGGTTCGCCGAATATCGCGCTCGGGTGACGGGGCGCGCGCGAACCGCGAAAACGCGGATCCGGCCGAGAATTACGCGCGCGTCGAAGAAGGACCGCGGAAGGAGACGTAAAAATAACGAACGGAAACTGAGAGAGAGAGAGAGAGAGAGAGAGAGAGAGAGAGAGAGAGAGAGAGAGAGAGAGAGAGAGAGAGAGAGAGAGAGAGAGAGAGAGAGA